GACGGATTTGAAAATTTTGAATCTTGCTTCTTCTTCTTCAGTTGGAGTTTTGGGTTTGAGTTTGCCTCTGGTTCAATCACCACCATCCTCTCTCTCCCTCTCTCTCTCTCTCTCTAATTACTCTATCGATTATGTATGTGTAATTGCGTGTGAGAACTAAGGAGCGTGGGATTTCCTTTTGGGTAACACGATGTCGTTCCAAGATTAATCGTAAAACTTCTGGAGAATCTAGACTCATCCGTCCCTCTTAAGGAAAGAATCGATCAGATTAATTTTCGAAGATGTAAGTTAGGTATCCAAAAAAGAATGGGGGAAGGAAAGGGGCGGCAGATAGCCCACGGTCCATCGACAGCTCCTTGGGCTAATTGGTAGGTAGGTTTGTCGCGTGGTTGTATGTGGATTAACCCATTGACACGATCAGATTCGTAGGGCCATGACCAATAGTTTTAGGATGGGTGGCCCAATCCATGATCTGATATGTTGGCTTGAAAGTGGCTGTAATACTAACAACGAAAATTTGGAAGTCGGTCTTCTTATATATATTTTTTAAATTTAAATCAGTCAAAAAATTTATTTGTTATAAAGTCCATTTTTTATCAATTTTATCATACTATCCCTTCTCTTTAGAAGTGAATAAAACTAAAAATTAAAAACTCCTAAATTTTAGGAGTTTGACTAACATTAAAATTTTTTTTCTCTCATATTTATCTATATCCATATATAGATTAAGAGATTGACTAATATTAAAAAATTTTCTCTCTCTTATCTATCTATATCTATATAACAAAGTAACTTACAATTCAAATCTTAAAAGATAAACAAAATGACTTTTGCTATTCGCGGTTGAGATCATTTTAAATTTTATTTTAAAGTTAATCTAACGGCTAATATTAACACCCTAAATTTAATAGGAAAAATAGGGGTCTAAGGGTGTGTTTGAAGTGACTTTTTAAAATTATTTTTATTAATTATTTATCATGTATATTTTAATAAAAAAATAGTGTTTGAAACCGCACCACCACTACCTCTACTATCACTACCACCATCGTCACCACCACCGCAACCACCACCACTTCCACCACCACCACCATCGTTGCCACCATCGCTGCCGCTGCCATCACCACCACCATCACTACTGCCACCACCGCCACTACGGTCATTGTCGCTCACCACCACCATCACTGTCTCTTACCACTACTATTGTCGCCCACCACCTCTCACCCCAATACAAACCGATGTTTAAATTATTTTATCTTTTCTCTATTATTTGTGATTTGATTTTAAATATGAATACAAATATGTTTATTGTGTTATCATTTTTTATTATTTTGTGCTTTTAGGCACAGGTAATAACTATATATATAACTAAAACTTGACTTATTTTTTAAACGAGCTGAATTTGAATAATTTTTTAAGTTTATTTAAAAAAACAAACTACTTACAAAACTCGATTCGATTATTAATCTTATTAGCAATATAACAACCCCAGTTGCCTCAAACTTGCAAGCTACATCCCAGCAAATTGGTCATTGTTTTGTAAATTTATGCCTTTCAATATAGTTGGGTCTTAGAGGCTTGATCCTCCTTAATGTTTTATGACAATTTAAGCATTGTGCCAGCCCACGCCTACCCAGCTCTCTGGTCAACCCCGTAACAAGTGGAATGATACCCACCACCGCCTATCAAACAACTCTTAACAAACTTAAATTTCTTGATACACAATACAATCCATCTGAATTTTCTGACCAATCCCATTAAATTTTTGACTTTTGGATTGGTCAAAAATATTTTGAATGTCAAGGCCTTGATATTATAATCTCTCAGCCTCTTAATACAAGTCTTGATGATATTAATGGTTGATTACCATGTAAAATAATTCATGTGGTAATCACTAACTTAATCTTGTTCGATCATTTGTATAATAAAATTCGTTGTTTGTCAAAAAAAAAAAAAATTACTATTTATCTTTCGTATCATTTTTTATTGGTTTTGGCAAAGCCCTTGTCACCATCTTCAATCAGACGCCAACGCATCATTCGTTACTTTGTTTTAATTTTACATTTCAATCAAATAATAAACATGGGCACAACTCATCAACCAAAGGACCCACAAAATGTCGGTAGATGCAAAGCCATTGTCTAAACCATAGACAACTCATCAACCAAAGAAAGAAGCTGTCTAAAAAAAAACTTCAGACATGTAAGATATATATATATATATTTATGCGTCCTTCTTTTTTTGTATTTGTTATAGTATTTAGATTTTTATCAATTATTCTTTCAAGTTTAATAATTGATCACTATAATTTAAACTAATTTAAAACATACCCCCAAAGAAAAAAGAATAACTAATCCTCGGAATATGTGAAAAAAAATTGAACTAAAAATTTCTAAATTATCAAAAAATATTACTGATCTGCCCCTAAACATTCCCACAAAACATACTTTACTTGCATTGGATTCTTTCATATCCTTTAATCCAAAGAGTAGCAGTTATCATTATTAGTTGAAAAGTAACCCCAACAAAATTAATAATTGCTGATAAGGACACCAATGCACAACTCTGCCACCCTCGACGCCAATCCGGCAAAGTAGATAAGTACCAAAAGAGTACTGGACCCACCAAAAACAGAACATTAGGCCCACCACGAATATAGCTCAGGTTCATCTAAACTAAAATCAATCTACGAATGTGTCGGCACACAAAAATCCAAAATACAAGAGTGACGATTTCAAACTTTGCAGCTGGATTATTAGATGTTTGATCTTGACCCCCCAAGTTTTAGCCCAATCAACGGCTATGATACTGGGACATGTTATCACGTGGTGTGGGCCCCATATCCAGCCGTCTCTCTCTCTTTCTCTGTCTCTCAGCTTAGCTGTTCTTTCGAACTATGCAATCTGTCTTAGCTGTCTATTTTCGGAATTTGTTATTTTTAGAAACAAATTTTCAGGGCTTATGTTGACCGAGGTTTGTTAAATTTGAAATTGTTATTTTATTCGTATAAGGACGTAATCAATAAACAAAAAGTCTCGTTATTATAAAATTTAAAAAGAATTAAATGTACATAATTTTATTCTTATAAATAAAAAAAATTATTTCTTTGACCTATTATTTTATACAAATTCGAACCTCTTAAACTAAAAACAAGTGGTACGATGGATGGTTGTAATGTCAGATCCAACTACATAACATTACGAGTCATTTTTACTAAACAAAGTCTTACAAAAAATGAATAATAAAAAACAAACACCCCATAAAAGAATAAAATCATTATAACATAACACCCTAAACTAGAATAAAAGATCACAAGTCTAACTACAAAAATTATCCTAAAACAAAGACACCACCTCAATTTCATACACAAAATTCAAAAAATTTCAATACCCAAAATAGAGAGAAACAGCAAAAACATAAACAATTTGGGCCAAATTAAACTCAAAAAACTTTGTTTACACTTTACAAGAAAGAAAGTAGCAACAGAAACTTTGATGGAGGGATAAGGTTCTTCTTTCACCTCCTCCCCAAGAAAAGAATTATATTCACTTTCCTTTTCCATTTACCTTTTTTTTTTTTCCCTCCTCACTGGATTTTCCCTTTCCCCTTTTTCCGGGGAAAAAAAAAACCCAAAAGAGAAAAAAAAAATATTTGAAAGAAAGTTAGAAAACAAAGTATCACTTTACATAGGCTTGCCGTGACTGTAGTGGTAATAAGAGAGATACCACCTAACAAACTTCTTCAACCCGACTTCTAATTGGATCGTGGGTTTATACCCGAGTTCCCTCCGTGCCAAGCTTATATTCGCATGGGTAAACGGAACGTCGCCGTTTCCGGGCATCTCCACAAGGTTCTTTTTTGCCTTCATCTTCAAATGCTTCTCCAAAATACTCACCATCATCGGCACAGTCACCGGCGATGTATTACCCAAATTGAAGATCCGATGCATTGCCGGACCCCGTTTCTTCCCACCTGACCCTGTACTCTTACCCGCAGTATCCAATGACCCGACACACCCTTTCACAATATCATCGATATACGTAAAATCTCTAGCCAAATCAACCTTGTTTTTACCACGGTAAACAGTAATTGGCTTTCCCTGTAAAATATTCCGGGTAAATGAAAAATAAGCCATGTCGGGCCTTCCCCATGGACCATACACCGTAAAAAACCTCAACCCGGTTACCGAAAGCCCGTAAATGTGATTATAAGTGTGGGTAATTTCTTCACCGGCCTTTTTGGTGGCTGCGTAGAGAGAAGCGGGTCGGTCAGTGCGATCCGATTCGGAAAATGGTACCTTGTCGTTTAACCCGTAAACCGAACTGGAGCTGGCCCAAACAATTGCGGGTTGTGGGTCGGCATTTTTACAGGCCTCCAAAAGGGTCACAAGCCCAGCAATGTTACTGTGTACATAGGAATGAGGGTTCTCCATGGCGTATCTCACCCCCGCCTGCGCAGCCAAGTGCATAACGTGAGAGAAAGCCACAACATCGAAGAGCTTCGCTAACATGCGCGCATCGTTAACATCACCCTCGACGATGAAGATATCGTGAGAATTCAACAGAGCTTTTCTTGCTTTCTTCAATGATGGGTCGTAATAATTGTTGAAATTATCTAACCCAACGACGCCGTCTCCTCTTTTCTTGAGGGCCAAAGAGACGTGGGTCCCAACGAAACCGGCTGCACCGGTGACCAGAACGGAGAATCCATGTTGCCGGCGGATTTGGCCGGAGGTACGGACTTGTTTTTCCCAGTGAAGACCGCCCCACGAGGAGGAGAAATACCGGCTACCGGAATCAACGAAGGACTGGAAACTCAAATACGACGCCGTTAAGGCAATCAGGAATAGTGCCCAGAGGAACATTGTGCTTGTTGAAGAGAAACACCGATGGAATTGCCTGTTCATCGTGTGGGATCGATCTTTGAACTTGCCTGGGGTTGATGGAAACAATTCCTCTTCCAATGACGGCATTTTCTTGAAGTATCTCGATGACAGTTCTTGATTTCTTGCGGAAAAACTACAAGAACGTGAAAAGAAAACACGAGAGAAGAAGAGATAGGATTATGGGTGATTTTTGAGATGGGCCTTGGGATTCGGATGATGTGTAAGGATAAGAGTAGATAAACAGGTGAAAAGACAATGACCCTTACAGGATTTTTCAGAGAGAATCCCAGAAATCAATAGTGTATTTTTTCAATGTTTTGTGTATAGAGGGAGAGGGAGAGATGATTTGGGGCTATATTCTGGAAAAGGGTATTTTAGAGGAAGGCAAAAACAGATGCAGAGAACAATGGAGGGCAGGAGAGGTGGGTAATTGTTCTGCACCTGCCAGAGAAGGAAGGTGGTGGGTGAGAGATATATACAGTGGGTGACCACAAAGAAGGCGACAAACAATACGCGTGAACGCGTTAAAGGACGGCCAGATTGGAAGAGAGAGAAGAGGAAATATTTTCAAAGATTTCTAGAGGGGGGGAGAGAAAGAGAGAGACTCCAAATGGGGCCGTAGGGGGACAAACAGCCAATCAAGGGAAAAAGGGGGTTTAGAGTTGTAGAGAGAGAAAGAAGAAAGATACGGTGGAAAGAGTATTGGCCTACTAAGAATGGCCATGGGGTATATTTTGCTGTAAGAGAGAGGAGGAGTTTGGACGTTTTAGGAGAGAGCAGGAAGGAAGATACGGTGGAAAGAGTACTAGTGGGCACGGGGTGTATGTTGCTGTTTTGAGGGTTTTATTGTTTTATGTTTTTTATATTTTGTGTGCATAGACCAACTAAATTTTAGGATTAAATTTAGAGTTTAAATGACATAGCAATTGACTTGAACATCTTTGATTTGTGTTATGTTATTTGAGCTCCAATAAAAATTTTAAATAATCAACTGTTATATTATTTGGACTCTAATTTTAATTTTAAAATTTGATCAGTGTAACATTACTCTCACATGTGTCTATTTATTGAAAGTTGGTTAAACTTGCTCTGTCATGTCACCATCTGTCAGCACTAGATGTGTATTGATCCAGCTAAGCTTTAACACTAGTCATAAATATAAGCAATGTTGATGGCTAATATAGTAAAGCAATTATTGACCTTGTTTGTATTATTTTTATATAGCTTTTGGTTTGGACCAATCTCAAGTTATATATATATATATATGATTAACAGTGATTCATAGGAGTGTCAAAATATAATATGATTAATTAATACAATATGAAATTAGAGAATTTTAGTTTTCTTTAAGTCACTTGATTCATAAACGAGTGGACTCAACATAATATAATTAATAACCGAATTAGATGTATGAAATCAATCAAAAGAAATACACAATACGACTTATTTATATACTGATTCTACACGATTGATGCACAATATTAACCTGACATAACACGATTCGTTAGACACAAATTAATAAATGAAATGGATATAGGTGAAGTACTTTTTGACACGAATCTCTTAAAACTTGACACGAATTCGTTTCATTCGACACGATTGACAGGCCAAAATTATTTGTTTGAAGATATTATACAATATCAAAAATTGAACTGATCTTATAATATTTAAATTTTTAACTACGTAATTTTAAATTAAAATGAATAGAAAAGTGGGTGGGAATTGATGAAACTGTTTGACATTAGAAAATTTGTTGATTGGGTTATCTAGTATTAGAAGTCGTGCAGAAAAGTTGATTTTTTGGCCCAAAAAAAATTGAAATTATTTTTATACCATTAGATCAAAGTTATACTAGTTAATTATTTATGAAATTTACTAAACAAATCTCAAAAAAAAAATGTATTTATTCTGAGAAAAGAACTGTAAAATTGAAGGCCCGAAAGAGAACTATAAGCGTGTTATAAAATAGAAGCCGATAGACACTTTCCAGGTACCACAATTAGTGGGAGATTTTTCAGTTTGATTGGACTTTTGATAATTTCTCGCGGGACTAAGCCCCTTGAATATATATTTTTTATATTGTTTTATAGATTAGTCATCGTGAAATTAAGTATGATTTATTGTATTTGAGTAGATTTTTTACTCACTAATGATAAATAATTTACTAATTAAAAATATGTTTAAGGTGGATATTAAGGGTGACACTAAACATGGGCAGTAAGATGCAAAGGCAAAACTATGGGTACACTGAAAAATGGCTTAACGAGCAATAGACCAAAGAACGACAATCAATTCACATAAGAGTAGTATAATTTTTTTGTACTTTTTTTTAATTTTCTTGTTCAAGTTTGCTCCGTTATGCCAGACTGGACTTACTTGCGTGTTGGATAATTAGTGATATTCCGTGATTAAAGTTATTGTACATTGAATTATAACACTGTGCATGCATTGGAATGTACGTGTTAGAGTGTGTGTATATATGTGCAACTGTGTGTTATGCAGTGTGTGTTGAGTTTTTAAAATTGGAGAGGAGGGAAGTGTGTGTTGGGTGAAATTTGGGTAAAAAAATATATTCTAATAAATTTAAACACCTATCTGATTTATTATATAGATTTACATATAAATGCAATGAGCAATGTTACACAGATATAAAAACTTGATTTGATGGTGTGACTATTATATTTGTTATTGATTTAATAATGGATCCCAATAAATATTGGGACCCATTATCTATTCAATAGTAATGATTCACCGAGTCAATTTTTTAAGTCTATTTAACATTTTTCAAATGCAATTACACGTATCATCTACATATTAAGATGGATATATATTTATTCTTCAAGAATAGTTATCCAACATATATCGGAATTTTTTGATAGAAAGCCAAGAAAGAAAACAATTCTTTTTGACTATATTATGTTTTTATGATAGCCCACAATTTTTAAAAAGATGTATCAGTTTGATGTCCGGAAAAAAATATCGCTTTGGATACAATAGGGATTCTTGAATGAGAGAATTCTATTAATTTTTGTTACGCGACCCATTGAATATCCGAGGTTCTTATTGCTTTGGAGAGAGAGAGAGAGATTGTCAACTTGGTTTGCAGTTGTGTCTTGTTAAGATGCCCCTTTCAAGTCAAAATCACTTGTCCCTTGCAGTCACACACACACATGCAAAATTTAGCATATACATGTATGTATGATATAAAACATGGTAAATTTTAATAAACTCATTCAACAGTCTCAAAAAACTCATTTAACGACCACCAACATTCATCTCAAAATTATTTACATTAAATTTTACTTTCATTTCCTCACTATACACACTGTCTCATTTCAATACTAAATTCGCTGGATTATAGGCTTCATTCAAATTGATGAATGACGGGTGATTTAGTATTAAGAGGATCGAGATTATTTAGTTCTCAAGTGAGATATATGGGTAGCTTCAGGTTCAAGGTTCTTTCTGACTGAATTTCTTACTACAATAATGTGTATGTATAATGATACATAATACATTAGTTGTTGGTGGGTAATATAAATTACAAAAAAAAAAAAAAGCAAGCTTAGTGAATAAGATAGAATGTGAACTTCGTTAAGGGTTTCCTTTCAAGTAAAGTGTCTTGGACCTCATCAAAGTCAACTTTACTAATCCAGATCATTCTGAATTATTTTATGATTGAATCATAAGCATGTTCACAGTAATCAATATAACATTTGTGTATCTACGTTGATGTTTCTAAAGAGAAAAAAAAAATTGATACTTTTGTGCAGTCGGAGATGACGATTTATTTACATATTCGCATAAATTCAAACCTAGATAAGACCGTGATTATAAAAAAATCATTGACTCATTGTCTTTCATAAAGTCTTACACAATTTTGAATCGAAATTTATTAAGTCATACAAGTACGACAAGTGAATATACTCGACATATTAAATTTGACGAAGAATTACATGTGAATTTGCAAAGGCAAGAAGAAAAACAATAAAGGATAAGTCTGGCTATACTTTGGTTCATGTTAACTAACAATTCTAATAGAAGCAAAGTGAGTTTGAACTTAATTAGTAAAAGAGCGGAATCCGAACAGTGGTTCGTTCAGCTCATTTAGGCTTGTGCCTTAAATCAAGTTTAAATATGAAACAAGTATGCACTCAACCGTTTAACGAGTCAAGTCCGAGACAAACTAAATAACGAGTTGTAATACACTTGAAGTTCATCATGATCTCTTCGTAAATAAACAAGTCGAGCACCAAGAATTCATTGCTGAATTTTGGTTGAGTTCCTTTGCACCCTTAGATATAGCTTCAAAAGGCCCATTTGCAATTTTTGGGTTCTAACCCAGCTAGGCCATTAAGAAAAGGGGTTGAAGCCGTACATCAAATTATAAACGGCAGCCCTTAATTTTGACCTTGAGTCACCATTTCTTTTTTGATTGTTCAAGATTTGAGCTTTCTTAAGGGTCCAAGTTGGCCTAATGACCACCATCTTTGCTGTTGAATTTTAAAGTTGTGAATTTGAAGAATCTTTCAATATCTATTTCTGTTGTATGGTTAACCCATGACTTATCATAATGAATGAGTTGATCCCTGATTCATTCCGTCATCCCACCCAATGAATCATTAAGATTAGTTTTCAATAGAATCTTCTGCATTCACAGGTTCCGTCATTCCCATTACTTTTTGGTTAATGGTTTGTCCTATTTGGTTAAAGGTTTCATACTATCAAACATATCCGACTTTCTATCAAACAACTTTTTGCTCTATGTTTCTAAATACTGAGAATGCCCTTCTTTCTTGTCCAAATTTAGTGTTAGGATCTTACGTGCTCGTGGTTGCTCTGTCTTTATAATTGCTGTGTAGTAGGAATCTGAATCTGTGACCTTTGTCCCAACGTATCTTCTTTGTTTATACTGTCGTCTAGGATTCAAATGTCTAGATTTGCCGCAGACAAATTGTTGAGAGGGAATGGGGTAGCAGTTGTGACCCTTAATTCCTTCTTTTGCCTGTTATCAAGCACAAAACCTTCGAAAGAGACTTTAAAGTATGCATTTTCATCTACGAGAGGTTCTTTTTGACAATCAACATCGAGCATAGTGCATTCTCTTCTTGGCTTGTCCTTCTTTATGGAATCCGCAATAGAAAGAGTTTGGGGAGCCCCTAACAAAACGGAATTAAACTTAAGTGGAACCCTCCTTCTTTAGTGCCAACCCAGGGATCCAATGGAGATGCCCTTGTCAAGTGATTCTAATCGTATTTGACTCTGTTTTAATGACAATAAGGTAACTCCAAAGACAAGTAGTTTATTGTGTTGAATGTAACTATAGGAGAACAAGTCAGAATGATTACGCTATTGTTGTTCAAAGAAGACAGGATTCACACCTTCCCTCAAGTAAGATGGTTGAATAATGCCTAATCAAAAAAAAAAAAAGAAGCTTTCTTTCTCACTCCAAGTAGGCCAAGCTTGCCATTTGTCGTTACTATATTTATTAACGTGATTTTCTAAAGCATCCTTAATACTATTAATTTTCAAGTGCGTTTTTTTACAAAAAAAAGAGAGTATATTTGATAAAAATTTATAGTAGAAAGTGAAAATTATTGAACAAGTAAGAGGAAATAAAAAGAAAAAAGAGAATTTTTTAAAGGTTACCTTGCTAAAATCGAGAATTGAATGAAATAGAGATCATATTAAAGATACTTCAAGCCGTGGGCACCAAACATTTATCAAAGGGTAAATTATAAAAGGGTACACTAAATTAGATTTATTTGGTAAAAAGTACACACTAAAAAATATATATGTATTTATGTATATATAAAAATGTATGTATATATATACTTGTTTGAATTTAAAATTTTGTATTCATTTTATATATATATCAAAGTTCTTCCATAAAACTAAGAGATATTTAATACACCACTTTCCAAAGAAAAGTGGTGCATTAAATACACCACTTTCCAAAGAAAAGTGGTGCATTAAATACACATGGATTAATGAAGGGCAAAAATATCACAATAAAAATAGATAAATTCAAATTATGTACTTAGATACAAATAAATATCAATATATATATATATATATATATATATATATATATATATATATATATATATATATATATACTTGTTGTTAAATCTCTTATCTAAATTTTGAATTATCTTTTAATCCTTGATTCATGCATTTTTTTTTTTAGAAAGTGATTTTATTTTCAAATTAATTTAATATCCGAATAGTATAATAGTGTAACAATAACAGTGTAACAATAAAAGTGTAACAGTGTAACAATATAACAATAATAGTGTAACAAGTTATTTATACAAAATATTGTACTATTATATTTTGTCAAACATATAGTTCTATATAATTTCATTCAAAATAGTCAATCTTCGTTTTGCATTTGTTACCATATATACAAAACTATTTAACATTGTTTTTGTTATATTATTACATTATTCGGATATTAAATTAATTTGAAAATAAAACTATTTTCCAAAAAAAAAACAAACGCTTGAATTAAGATGCATCAAATATAATTTGAAAACAAAATCACTTTTAAAAAAAATACGCATGAATCAAGGTGCATTAAAGATAATTCAAAATTTAAATAAAATATTTAACAACAAATATATTTATATATATGTGTGTGTGTGTGTATGTATAAATAAGTATATATATTCGTATATACATATACACACACCCACACCCACACTCACATATATATATGAATATAATATATATATAGAGTAACAAATACATATAAATTAAAGTGTATTAAATACATATTTATATGTATTAACAAACAAACATGAATCAATGTGCATTAAAAATAAGAAATTTTGAATTAAATGACCCTAAAATGGGTATTTATGTCTTTTTAACTCACATTTTATTCTATATATTTTTTTACCAAATAAATCTAATTAAGTGTATCGACTTCCAAACAACTTATTTATCAAGTGGGTGAGTTTTAGTAAGCGAGAGGAGTGAGAGGGGCTTATCATACCGGGCCAAAAAGGTTGACCCAACTGAGCCCAATATGTAATTGGGCTGAAACCAGCTCAATCCGAGTGCCGTCGAAATTTGGATGAGATAGTAGAGCAGATTTTCAATGGGGCACCTCACTGTAATTTTTCGTAACTTGTTCCCACAAAAGTTTGCAAAAAATTAGGGATGGGTTTGTATTTCATAAAATAAGTGGAATTCTTCATTAAGCAAAGCCTACCCTTGAACTTTACCAATACGATTATGGGTGATAATTTTCGATGAAAGATTTAAGACATTAATGCGTAATGTATCTGAAATAAAATTAGCGAATTTAGAATTATTAGTTCTCAAAATAAACACGAAATTAACCTGACCCACTAACACTAATACTAAACAGGTTGACTTATAGTTTTAAACTTGAATAAACCGCGACAAATCCATTAATAAGAGTTGTGCAAAGAAAATATCTCATTTTTTAAAAATTTTTTGATCAGTTATTGTACAAATAGAAAGTTTTGATTTAGTTTTGCTAGCATAAAAAATAAGTGGATTTTCATCTCACCTCTCTCCTTTATTCTATTCCTAAATTTGAACTGAAATATTGGGGCTTGAAGTTAAAACATAACTTAATTTGGGGTTGAACATTACAACACAAAGATTGAAATTAAAATTGGAATATAAGCATATGGATGAGTATATGAACAAACCATAAACTTAGAGGAGCTGAGAACACATTCAAACTCGGAGAAAAATTTAGCTATGCCCCAATAAATAATAAATTTGTCAATGAATTAGATTTGAATTTGAATATGATTTATAGATGTACAATAGTTTTTTGATGAATTATCCACATCTGAATTCGCAAAATCTACTTCATGGATTGAGATTTGTTAATATCAAATCCAATTATAAATTGATTCAACTTTTATATCAGTAAATAGATATATTATGTATTTTAGTGATTATTTTCTAAAATTTAGTTACAATTCGTTTGTAATTCACCAAAATCAAGTGCATGTAATCTATTGGGATAGGATATTCAATTTTCAATGGATCCGTATTAAAATAAATTTTGTTGGATAATCAAATCAAAAATTTTAACGGACTTGAATCGGACCAACACAAATCTAATCCAAATTCTAACCTTTGACAAAATTGGCATCAAATGATCGAAAATTACTAGCATTTTAATGAGATAATATAAAGTCTGCATGGATAAAATTACAAGTCTTTTTACTGAAAGATAAGATAAACACAAAAACAATCATAAACACATGTTACATATAATATAGTAGTAACACACATTACATGGTACTTAGATTTGCCCATGTTACTTATTCATTCCTCCAAAGTTGTAGCCAAATTTTGTTTAGGGGATATAATTTATTTTCCATTACCCCCACCGGAACCTGACCCATACCCGCCACCTTCACCATACCCGCTTCCCCTGCCAGATCCCTCTCCCGACCCTTCGCCATATCCAGAACCAGACCCATGCCCCGAACCTTGGCCACGGCTTCCTCCTCCTCGATTACCACTTGACCCTGACCCTGCTCTCGAGCCAGCATACGAGCCTGCTTCCGAGCCAGAACCCGAATTCGATGATGATGAAGACGAGCTAGAGCTACTTGAACTAGACCCTGAGCCTGAGCCAGAGCCTGCGCCCGCACCCGAACCACTCCCACCTCCCAATCCAAGGCCTATTCCAAGCCCAAGCCCTACATTACCCAAGTCCAAATTCAGATCTTTTCTTGCCACTCGGCTTTGGGAAACCATAAAAAAGGTCGAAACCAGCAAAGCACTGAAAGCTAATGACTTCAAATGAGCCATATTTGAAGCCAAAGAGGTTTAGAAATGGCAAAAACAATGTTTCCAACGCAAGAACTAGCTAGTAGTGTTTGGAGGCTTATTTGTGTGGTGGTGACAATGAAGAACAAAGAGCTGCCATTTATAGTTGCATATGCTAATGGATGGTCCATACACGTGCATAAACTGCATTAAAATAAAAAGAAGATTAATTATACTATTCACCCCTAAAATGGGCTCACCACTTTGATCCTTAAGTTACACGTGGTTTGTTCGTACTTTTAATTTTATCATCTTAGTCTTTTAAATTTCTGATTTGTATTATTTTGGTTCGATAAAAAACGATGGTGCCAATTAACTAACAACTAAGGTGGTCACGTGTTAATAGGTCACTTTAGTCCTTTTAGTTTATAATTTGTTTTATTTTTAGTCCTTATTTTGTCACTTTTGTTGTGCTGAGTCCTCCAAGAAAATTAAAAATCTCTGTCAAATCGAAAAAGACGTATGTGACCACTTATGTTAGTCAATTTCAATCAACGTCTTTTTATTAGACTAAAGTGACACAAATTAAAATTTAACGCCTAAAATGTCAAAATTAAAAGAATGAGGATCAGAACAATACAAAATGCAGACTTAAACAACTCTTTATTAAAGTCAATGTGATCTTCCACCCTACACCCCTTTACCACCCCCCCCCCCCCCCCACACACACACACCGCCCAACAACCCCAAAACACATACCTGTGGAATTCACTTCAGTGGAGTCCAGGTGTTGACACCATAGATACAGTGTCAAAAAAGAAGAAGAAGCCATTTGTGGCTTCATTGTCCCTAACATGAAGAAAGAGAATGAAACAAAGCTTGTGGTTCAGAAAACTTAGACATGCAGTGGAGAGTGTGTTGGAGGACTCCTCATATAATGGCCAACATTATCATTAGGACTGTACCGACCCACAATTCCACTCAACCATAGTGGACAGGAAACCATTGAAAGGATAGTGTAGAATATCCAAATCTCAAATCTCTTTCACATTCTTAAACTTCTTTAGAAACATGTTTGGATTATCGAAGAGGAAGAAATTGAACACTACATTTGGCAATGGAATGGCAAGAAGAAACAATAAAGCCAAGTGAAAAGTCCAGGTCCAAAACGGAAGTGCTTGGATGGAAACTTATTATTAAACACAACACCTCATGCCCCTTTTTTCTCTCTCTCCATGAACTGACTTGAACATCGTAAAAAATATGTCGAAGAAACCTCTGTCACCCTTCTTAACGGACAAGTAAAAACTTTTCAAATGTTGTTATCTCATTGGTTGTACGAGTTTAACCCGTGCATATATATTTAATCGACCACTAATATCAAGGCAGAAGTCAATGGTTTAGACACTTTGCAGTCCTAAATGAATAGCCAAAAAAATCAACATAAAAATTTATTAAAGTTTGTCGGTGCTTATTCAGTTAGGAACAAAAGTTGTTAGTTTTTCTTCAACTCATGAATTGTAATTCTAACATATATACTGTGCTTTCACATGACTTTGGACTCCTACTGTTAGGATATTCTTCTCAATTTCTGTAATTACACATACATTGCACCATATCTTTTTTTCTTTTCTTAATTTTTTACCTCTTCTTTCTTTTTTGTTTGAACGGTCCTCTGAATTTTAGACCAAGGGACTTAACCCCCCCCCCCCCCCCCCCCCAACACACACACACAAAAAGAGGTCCAAGTGTGCTTGGTTCTTGTAATAGTAAGAAGAAGTCTGTTGAATCTAATATTGCACTTGTTGCAATAAATGTAAAAAAAAAAAAATCGTCTATGTTGAAAATACCATTTTATTTAATTTTTGCAGTCCTCTATCAATCAACCAATAAAAGTTTTATTTGTTTTAATAACAATTTCGATATTTACTTTTTGATAAATAGTTGAATTTAGAACAATAACAAGTGTTCATCTGTTCAAAGATATATATATATATATATATATATATATATATATATATATATATATATATATATATATATATATCGTGAATTCAAGTGTTGTTATTCCATATTGCTTAATGCTGTTACGATTGTTGGACATTTCCATATATATTGAGGTTATAAGTGTTACTTTCAAAATTAAGATGAAGATGGACAAAACTTTGCAGCAAATTTAAAGAACACGAAGAAGAAAGCATGCAATACCAACAATATTCTTATTGTAACTTTATGTCTATAACTCATTTATATATTACACAGAGACTGGTTTCACCACTTTATTTATTTACAAAGATGGTGACAATGTCCATACTTATTTATTTTGCTACTAAATTAGCAGTAGATACACCTTCTCTTCTCACTCCCCACCATCACCTTCACCTTCACCATGGCCTTCACCATAGCCAGAACCCGACCCAGAACCACTTCCCCTGCCGGACCCCTGACCATATCCTTCCCCACGTCCACTACCTCGACCCGACCCGGATCCTGCTCCACTCCCATGGTTGCTGCCTGATCCCGAACCAGCCCTAGACCCAGCATATGAACCCGCTTCAGATCCTGCTCCAGATCCAGAACCCGAAGATGACCCTGATGAGGAAGCTGAGCTTGACCCAGAACTAGAACCAGAGCCAGAACCCGACCCTGACCCAGCTCCAGATCCTGAGCCACTACCACCAAGTCCCAAGCCCACCCCAGCTCCAACCCCAACTCCCACACCACCAAGATCCACCCCCAAGTCTTTTCTTGCAACTCTGCACTCGGATTGAATAACAGAAATTGCAAGAAGCATTGCAATAAATGCAAAGGACTTCACATAAGCCATTTTCTGTGATGTTTTATGAGGTGCAGAGGTAATAAAGAAGCCTCTCTTAGTAACAAAGAAACTCTTCGAGGATGAGAGAGAAAGTCAACGTTTACTGGTTTCCTGGGCTGAGGGGCTTTGCATGAGAGACATTGCATGGAGATTTACATATTTGTAATTGTCTATTAGTGCTGAGGTTGGTGAAGAAAACGTGTAGAGTTTGACATTTGATAGTGGAAGTGGTGACTGTCTTTTTTTTTTTTGTGGGTTTTGCTAGCTGGAGAAAAGCTTGTGGCTGAGGTGGTGATGAATTTTCCAGGTCCATGGGGTTTTCGACAGGTGTTGGCCATGGGTGACCCATATGAACTCCACTTACCTTAGTGGATAATACATGGGCTGTTTTGGCTGATGATCCTTTTGATTCAGCATATGATTGCCGGTTCTATATCTTCATTTGCAGCCAGCTAAGAACCATAGAGTTCAAGGTTTTAAAGTTATAATAGTTTTGTTTATGCCACAAGATCATCCTCTGATAAACTTACGCATGCACTATCATATTGTCTAGGATTGGTTTCACACGGGTGAAGGAAATCTGAATCAAGTAGGAATGCTTGAAAAATAATTAAGAAAATCTCAAAAAACTTTACTAATAAAACCTTCCATCATTTTAAAATCGAATCAAAACGTTTATGGGATGATTGTTGGCTTCAATCTTTGCTTTATAGGTTTATCAGGAATTTGGGGTTGAAGGACAAAGAAAGATACCAGAGAGAAATGAAAGAATACAAAGAGAGACTCAAGATCAGGGCTTGCCTTGTAGTTTGTAGCTTGCAGTGTAGTTTAAAGTCCGTTTCTACGTGTAGGAAGTTATGAAGGCAAGATGAAACACATAAGATAAGAGTCTAATGGGGACGCAAGGTATTACTAATCCCACATCGGATAAAGATATGCCAGGGAGTAAGAAAGGTTTAATAAAAGGGTGCTCATGTGCCCAAAAAGAAAACATCTTTGCGCTTGGGGCAATGACGCAGCTAATGAGGTTTTAACCGAGGCGCGTCAATTGCTGGTTGAAAACTATTTCCAAACCCCCTCATAGGCTTGGGTTCATCCCTGGCCTCTGAGAATTTCTGGAAAGGCTCCCTCTAACCCAGGGTAAGGCCTTATAACTTAGTTCGAAGTTTAATTTGTTTATTTATCTAAGATAGAAGCGACGCCTAGAAGAATTGGGCACATGAGTTAATTATTTATACTACATTATGTTTTGGATAATTAATTTTTATTTTAATTATTAATCTTGAAAACTTAGTAAGTTATATTTTTAGGTGAGGCTGTTTAGACATTTCTTTCATATACTAGAATTGTACATGTGCGTCGCATGTGAAAAAAATTTAGTCTATTAATTTATTTTAAATACAAAGTTGATAAGTAATAAATTTAAATTATTTTTTATAAAGGTAAGTGAATACCAATAAAAAAAGCACTTAATATTTTAATTTTTTCAAATGTTTTACAGTATATGGTGTTTCGACTATTTCTTCCGACATTAAAAGTATAATCTTTTTTACTATCAAGTACTAACGACTGGAATATTCGACATTATTATACACTTTCAGTTCTTCCATGTATTTCTTGGTATCCAATTGGTTTTAATGTGGGCCTAGGATTTCTATCAAATTTTTTTGTCAATTTGAGAATATATAAAGCAAGATTAAAAGAATGTGTCACTTACAAATCATATGACAATTTATATTTTATTCCATTGTGATAAAATAAAGAAACACCAACATATAAAATTTTAACGTAAACCTAGGAATTAATAAACTAAGAGTGCGTTTCATAACGTTTTCGTTTTTATGTTTTTAAAAAGATAAAAAACAGAATCAATGTTTTTTTTTTTTGTGGTTAAAAGTTAAAACAAAAAACGTGTTTGAATGTAGTTGTTTTACAAAATCTAAAAACTACAACAGAAAATATGTTTGGTGACTATTTTATTTTATGTCATATATTTTACATTTATTTTAATTCTTGATAAACCATATCTATATATATATACAGAAAAGAAAAATTTTATTTCAAAGAATCAAAAAAATTACAATAAACAAATATTGCAAACAGTCTAACATCAAACCCTATTAACTTTAATTCTTCAAAAAGCCAAATTACCAATAGCATAACACCAATAGCCTTCCAAAATCAACGGTCTAACATCAAACCCTATATACTTGCAGCAAACTGAAATCCAATGTCTTCAAATGGTGCAAAATTTGTCCCAGTAAACCCCAAATTCTCCCATGAAACCCAATGTCTATTCCTCCTTACCAGACCATAGAATGATTATATGCCAATATATATATATATATATATAGTAACTCATAAAATAGTGCATAATACATCAACTCAAAATAAGAGTTGTTAAACATCCAATGTATCACTACATAAATATATTGTTAATATTCTACCAATTACACAAATACACCATAATTGCTTCACTAGAATTCCAATAAGTAATACAAATATTAAGAATAGTAATGCACAACACACGATGAAATTGCATCCACAACCAGTAAGCATAAAAAGTGTGACCCATTTCTTCTCTCTCCTTCCTAAATTGACATGTGGGATTACAAGTTCTGATTCATTTCTATGTGTATCGTACTCATCAACCCAAATGAAACAATCAGCATGATCACACCATCTTGGACAATGATAAAAAGGCGATTGTTGTTTCTTTTTGTTCGTGTGACAAAAACATTCATATTACCATATCCACATGAACATGGAGGTCCAATTGGTGCTATTATATGATTCTTGTTTCAACAACATTAATTACGACAAATTAGACATAACAATTTGTTCAATATAATATTGGAAGTTAAGAAAAAAGTATAATATCATTCTAAGTAAGACATTTTAATGATGAGTTGATGCTCACAATTGACCCGCAATGCCATCTCTAACATGAGCCATTTCACGCAACTGACTTGGCGTTATATCTATTTCAATTGGTACTTGTAAACTAGATCCAGCACCACCTCTACCATTATCAACATCCTCTCTTTGTTTATAGTCAATAAACAACTGATCTTGTGGAGAGTGTCTTCTAATGAAGTTATGGATTATACAACAAGCTGTGGACAGATATTTTTGTGTGGTTATGGGATAAGGTGACATTAATTTGAGAATGGGAAAACGAGCCTTCAAAACTGCAAAGCAACGTTCAATTACATTTCGAAGTGATGAGTGACGGTAATTGAACAACTCCTCTTTGTCAGTTGGTTGTCAACCCCTACCTCTATAATCACATAAGTGATATCTCTCATCGTGGTAAGGGGACAAAAAACTTGGCATGTTTGTATAACCCGAATCTACAACATAGTATTTATCTGAAAAAATATATATCATAGTAAGATAAAGTATTAGATTTGTACAAATTACTTATCTGAAATACGTGGATAAATTTACCTCCTAGAGGCATTGGAAACTTGTTTGCTGGATTAGTAACACACTCTATAAAAACTCTTGAGTCATGTGCTGTACCTTCCCACCCACTCAAGACAAACGTAAAGTGCATGTCAAATAAACATGCACACATAACGTTCTGATTTGGTACAGTTTGCTTTTCACAATATGGTACTTGTTGGTCTACTAGAACACGTGCATCAACATGGGTACCATCAATTACTCCAACACAATTTTAGCATGACAAACATATATCTCAAATGCCATCAATTGAACCAAAACATATATTTTGTAATTCATATGAAGATACAATAATACTTTCAATTACCTTAAAAAATAAATAATATTGGGGATTGAATTTGATCTGTGGTTGAATGACTTCAAAATTCTGTGGTTGTATGATATCCATTCCAAGCCTACAAATTGCCTTCAATACACGCTTGAAATATTTGGAGATTGTTTCACCCGAATGTTGAAACCTTTCAGCAACTATGCAATTTCGTTCATTGTGGCATATAGTGAGCATGGATATAGCAACTTGCTCTTGAACAGTGAGGTATCTAGAATGTTGTAATCCTCTATTTTTTAGCTCTTCGCAAAACAAGACAAAGACTGGTGGATCCATTCTAAATTGGTCGAAACACCTATTTTCATGGCCATTAATTAATTCCAATACATATTCATGCCCGCTAAGTTTAGATGTTCTACATGGACGTGGTCTTAAATTTTGACTAGAATAATGATCAACTGTTATTTTAGTTATGACAATACCTATCTCATCATCACTATCAAATATCAATTCCTCATCTGAATCCATTAGTGTCTAAGCACCTATAACACATAATAAGCATAAGTATGCAAAAACATCCATATCATTAAACTTACAAAAACATCCATGCCGATAAACTTACACAAACATTCCAACTATTAAACATAAGACAAAAAGAGACATGGATCTACGACAGTTATAAAGCAACAAACGTCCCAACGTTCTACAGTTAAATACAAATACATAACTACATACGTAAAAAACAAGCATAAACATCACAGGTGCATAACCCAATCCCGCTTCCTATGGTCCGGCATAGCCAGGAATATCTTCCTCCAAGTCATACCTTCTCTAAATTTTGTTATGAATTTTGAATAACTGTCACCATCAATGTCTTCCATAGCATTCAAAGCACTCATACATTCATCTACCAAATCATCCTTATTGGCATTAACCTCACTATCCCCATACGAAGATGTTGCCCCCGTTGACTGTGACATCTTGTACTCTAAATAGTCATTTTTTTTTTGAGTTTTCAACCAACACATTAAGGGCAGCTGTAAGACCAACCATAACACTATTTTTCTTCCTACGACGACTGCATGTTGGAGTGGTAGACCTACTACGAGAACGGTTGGATGGCCCTTTAGCATTTTCATTGTCATCGCCTTTATCAACCTCATTTGAAGGATCATAAATTGGGTCTTTCTCTTCCTCACTGTTAGATGGAGATAGGGTAGAAGGGTGAGCGTGCTCACCGATTGCACTTGTCTTACCAAAAATTCTACCAAGCTTGTCATAATGCAGGCAACCCTTTTTCTTGAATTGTCTAGCATGCTTATTCACCTAGCAGGCATGAAAACTAATAAATACTAAAGTCTTGACAAATATAGACATAATAATACTTAAGAGTTTTAAAAATAATTGGCTACCTTGCACAAATTCTTCCAGACGTCATCAGATAAAGTAATTGTCTGTCTCTCTGGGTCCCATCCTACTCCAGTTGTTTCATTCAATAACTTCTTAAATGCACTATACATTAATCTCAAAGTGTTGTATTTGTTTTGCAGCTGCTCAAAGTTGTAATTATATCCCGTCTTGGCGCTTAGTTGCACTAAGATTATGTTCCAGGCATCCTTTTCAAACGTAGCTGTGCCTTTAGGACGACATGGTACTTCTAAATCCATCAAGTCAATAAAAATGGCCTCATTTTTAGACGTCCATGCCCCATCACCTTTCTTAGCCCCAACCTCAACAACATCGTTATCCTTTTTTTCCAATCTACATAACAAACAACTCCAAACATTCATCAAACACTCTCACACTTAAACCACTCTCTCAAATCACAATTACTTATATGTAAACATAAGCATATAACATGTTAAATCAATTCATAATTCATACTTGAATTAAAAAATCATAAGCATGTAACCTGTTAAAGCAAGTTGAAATTCACACTTAACAGTCATAAAGCAACTTGATGGTTGTGGTGGTGTTTATGACTCTGATTGTAGAGATAAGAATGATGAAATATAAAAGAGAGATTATGAAATATTGCAAGAGCAAAAATTTCATTTTGATGGTTATAGCAAGTCTTTTTATTTTGCTTGGTATTCATTAGAAATCATTTTAGTTCACACTCACAACTGTCAAGTGATAATAAATTTTGAAGTTTTTAGTCAAAAGCTTGTGTGGGTGGGGTTGTAATTGAATACTAGTTATTGTAAGGGAATGAAATAGTTTGTCTGGGGTGGGTGTTGTAATTTATGCTTTAATTGGGTGTATTATGAACATCTTTTGCTTTCTTCTTGACTTGCTCAGTAATTTTGAAGGGGGAGATGGAGAAAACTTAAATGGTATTGATGGACAAGCTTGCCTGGTCCCTATTGTAGTCATATTTCATTCTCTCATCTACAAGTTCTAATAGATTACCAGCATGAGCCAATTGTCGACACCAGCCATGAGTCCTGAAAAAAAAATTGTGTTTTTTTGTCGACACCAGCCATTGGGTCTGTGGGGTTCGAGTGAGGATGGAGAAAGATACTGTAAGAGGCAAAAATGCTTCAATAACATTGCTTCTATTTAAACCTTAGATCTGAAATAATACAGTATAGATCTGTAAAAATAAATTACAGATCTACAAAAATAGGCCCAAAATCTGAACAATATCATCATAGATCTAAACAATCAACAAGAGAAATATCAATGGTTCCATTGAAGTATAAACAATAATATAACAGAGGAGATAAATGAGTATAGACCTGCAAAAATAAAATAGGGATCTACAAATCTGAAACAAAAATCAGACATCTGTAACAAAAAAAAAATTCAAAGTGGAGATACGAGCAGACATATGAGAAGTCAACTGTTCATGCCTTTTATATTGTAAGGAAAAAAATGAAACTTTTGCTGCTAAGGGGGATTGAAATCGAGACCTCATTAATTGGAGGAGGAGGCTTTCGCTTTGTTATGTTTTTTTGGATGTTTCCAAATTTTGTCATTATTTTTAAAACATAGCAGGGAAAAAAAAACAAAAACATTCACTAAACATTTTTTTTTTGAAAAATTAAAAACAACAACAAAAAAAATGAAAACTTGTTGTTACCAAACACCACCTAAAATATAGGAATTAATAAACTAATCTCAATTGTGCCGAATATTCAACCTGCGACACCAATTTAATGAACTAAAACATAAGAATTAATAAACTAACCTCAATTATGCTGAATATTTGACCTGTCACACCAATCTCTTAAAAAATTGCTTGACATTAAATTAAGTGTCACAGAACATAGGAAGTAACGTAAACATAGGAATTACTAAACTAAAACATAGGAATTGATAAACTATCAATTCAATAAAAACCTGGTTTGTACAGTATTGGTTCAACAATACTCCAACCCATTAAAAGTATATATTTTTTCACGTAAATAGTAATCAAACAATGATTTAGAAACATAATATCATAAAATAGTTGAACATGCAAAGAACCATACAAAATACTTCAAAACAAATGTATGATATAATAGTAAAAATAATAGTAATTGATACACTGACCTTTGCATTAACTCTTGGCTTTCACACTGAAATTAATTGGACAAGCTCTTCCAGTTCTTTTTTTTGCAGCTAGCTTGAACATCTTTTAGGATCTCTCAACCCAGAATCTACAAAATAAACCATCAATTAAAGAACATAAGGAAGTCCCCAAATTTGCAAATTAACAAATTGGAAGAACTAATTCATACAAGTAATGGCCGAATTTGCTTCAATGGGCTGATCAGACTTCAAAAGCCAAAGCTTTGCATGCTCAATACACCTTTGCAAAGCATTCTTGTGAGATAAACTCGAATCCACCAACCGCGAAATCAAAAGACCACCGAGCATCGAGATGAAATCCAAGTCCCTCTCATCAAGCTATAGATTTATATGAATGATTGTGTTTATCACCTAAAAATTACTAATACGTGGCATTAGAATTCTAATAGAGTTTGTAGAATTAAATGAAAAAGAAAGAATTTAGAGATAAAATTTATCTTTCAACTCATAGAGATAAAGTTTATCTACCTAATATTTTGATAAAGTTTATCTAGATAAGCTTTTGATAAAGTTTATCTAGATAAGCTTTTAATAAAGTTTATCTACGTAATATTTTGGAAGTCAAATAAGACTTAAAAATTACCAATATGTGATATTAGAATTCTAGTAGAGTTTGTAAAATTGAATAGAAAAGAAAGCATTTAGAGATAAAATTTATCTACCAACTCATAGAAATAAAGTTTCTCTACCTAATATTTTGATGAAGTTTATCTAGATAATATTTTAATAAAATTTATCTACATAATATTTTGGAAGTCAAATGGGACCTAAAAATTACCAATTGGTGGTATTAGAATTCTAGTAAAGTTTGTAAAATTGAATGGAAAAGAAAACATTTAGAGATAAAGTTTATCTACCAACTCATAGAGGTAAAGTTTCTCTACCTAATATTTTGATGAAGTTTATCTAGATAATATTTTGATAAAATTTATCTAGCTAATATTTTGGAAGTCAAATAGTTATGTAAGATTGAAAAATATGTGGGTATAATTGATTTTATGGTAATAATTAAGGGTGAAACAGGAAATCAAAATTTTTTTACACATGCTGACATTTATAAGTAACTAGGGATAACCCGTGCCTGAAAGCATTGTGCAATTAAAAAAAATCGAACATTGAATAATCAAGCACAGAACAACAGGCCTAAAGTCGCCATATATCACGTGTTTGAAGGCACTGTGCATAGTTCTTAAACACGAAATATAACCATGCATTAAGCTAAAAATCGTTTGGTCATTTTTAATGTTATGACTTTAATGAAATAAAAAGGATAAAAATATGGACACTCTATAAAAAAAACTTTCAATTTTTCGACAGAATATCATCTTAAAATATGACTTTAGGCCTTTTATTTTCGTTGGGAAAGTTCCATATCTGTCCACTTGATAGTAAGGGCCGGCTTGGTTAAAGCCCTTGACCATGAGCATAGTCCTTTCTCCTAGACCACCATGCTAGTTTTCTTTTTTGGCAAAAGCGACATTAGTCGTATCATGTTATTTTCTTATCGTGTCATTTTCAGTCGTTTCAATTTTAGATCGTGTCATTTTCGTTTGTGTCAGTATTTGTGTTAGTATTTTAGAGTATCCTCTGAAAATATGGAACCCGTGCCTGAAAGCACGGTGAAATGTAAACCAACCAACTAATTTTAAAAAATAATTATTTTAATTTGCTTTAATTAAAGAAATTAAAATCAATATAGACAACTTGACAGCAAAAGGCAATTACTATGTTGACGAAGATTACTCTAACAATAGAAGCTCAAGAAATTTACAACTTGTTTACAAAGCTCAAAGTCTTTTGAATTTATAGTTTACAATCTGACATAAACAATAATCAGAATTCACAATAAAAATTCCCCAAAAATCACCATTCCAAGCCTGTCAAACTTTGGCAACCATCAATTCCAAGGGTATTGTGTTCACTTTACCAAACTTAGTCCACACAACAAACACATAAAGAAAAAACTACGACAAACAATCCATGACTGAAGGCATTTTGCAACTCACTAAATACGCTTGTGAATTGTTCGCTCAACATAACACTTTGTTTTTTGGGTCACATAAATAAATCAATCTACTAACAACCCGATATTTTTTTCAAAATTTTGACATTATTTCTTTTGAAAATATGAACCTATATACAGAACTGAAAGATGAACAAAACAACCAAAACAATAAGGAATTTCACATGATCGTTCAAATCTTAGAATGCAAAAGAAAAGGCAAAATTTTAATTATTTTTGCAAAGTAATTAAAGAAAGTTACATCAATCTAATCTATAATAATAACCTGCTATTTTTTTGCAAAATTTCGACAGAGTTTTCTTTAAAAATAGGAGACCATGGAAATGTCAACCTGTATATGTAACTAATACAATCCCCAAAAATCAAACAATCCATGCCCAACAACCCGTGCCCAAGGGCACAACACAACTGCAATTGCACATCGTAGTTTGAAATTAAGTTGGTGTCTACCCTTAAAATATAGTTTTATGTACACTTGAGTGCACGATACAGTTTTAGGAACAATTCACAAGCGTATTTAGACTACACATAATATATCCACCATATCATATGTTTACCAAAAAAATATATCCAAAATATCACAATTTTTTTTTTATCAACTGCAGACTAGACAAATACATCCAAAAGCTGTTGTGGGGCATGAACACGGCGAACATGCAGAGACAACCAGCGCATAATGACCAAGAAAGTGTGTATATAAACCTCAAGCTCTCACGTGCCAGCCTAAACAACAATCTATATAATGTTAAACACGCAGGTATAAGAACAGGGTAAAAGCTCACTTACATTGATAAATCCATTGTGGATTGCCAAATAAGTAATTAAACAAAATGTGATAGTCGTATTTTTTTTAATTATATATGTTTTATATATTTTTTTAGATTAGTTGTCTATATTGATTTCAATTTGTTTAATCACTTACATTGATAAATCCATTGCGGATTGCCAACAATCTATAAAATGTGTTAAACATGACTAACACATTTTGTTTAATTACTTAAACCTACCTAACCCAAATAAATTCATCCACATTCATTAAATTACTAAATGAAAAATAAAATTGACTCGACCATTCCAATTTAGAAAACTACATTCTATGATCCTAAATATCTCTCTTAACACAACAAACCCAAGTAGTCAACCAAAAAAATAATCTCAAACATAACACCACGACAAAATATTCTCCCACCATTTGTAAGTCAATGTCAATATCAACTCACCAACTCAAATTCTTCAAGTGCACTAAGGCAGTGAGTATTCAAGGCTTGTATTGGTAGAAGATGCAATTTTCTCTCTTAAGTTAAAGCAAAAAATATAATTGGACTTAATTGTCGCAACCATGAGTGTAATATTTTAAAAGAAAACAACAAACCTGCACCTTAAGCTGAAGTTGAAGCTGCTTGAGGTAATCAATGAGTTCATCAATTATCAAAGCCTTGTTCATCTATAAAAAAGGAAACATCAAAGTTTTGTTTAACTTTGATAATCAAAACTCTTAATAAATCAAAATAATCAAGCTTAAATTGCACCAGATAGACTAAATTCATTTATCTGCACATCATTTTAAAAATAATTTCTCCATCACAACCTTGAATGTAATTGTATCAATCCAAATCCGTAGCTTTCAACTGGGAGAATGTACAACAAGCTAGCATTTACAAAAACAGTTAAATTTAGTACACGACAGAAATTATAAAATTATAAAGTTGAAAATCTAAAATAAACTATAAAAAATAAATTTAGTTACCTTATTCAAATAACCCCATCGAAAAAGATGGATTGCATTTAGTCTTTTTAACTCTTGCACTGCTTCATCCCAATTCTATAGATGAAATAACATAAACAAAACGTTAGATCAATAAAATAACATTGTCAAAATGTTAACAATGTAATACCACTTGGCACAAAGTACTTACCTTTTCCTTGTCAAAAGAGGTTGATATTCCTTTTCCTTTACACTTTGCAGTTACGACTGTTCTTTCTTTTGCCTTTTAGATAGTAAACATAGATAAGTGAAATCATTATATAAAAAAAAAGAAGTCTAATCTATAAATAAATTGATGTGTCATGACACTACCTCAGAAATGAGAATGCAATTGAGTTCGCGTTCGTCGCGGATGACAACACTAACATTATTTTTCTTAAGCAATTGAACTTATACATGAATATGCATTTAACAGGTAAATGAACACAAACTATATGAGATAAAATTATTAAGAATATGAGTGATATGAAACTCATCTTACGGTTTGCTCTAAGTCTTCATCAATCTGTAAAAAGATGCGTGAAAATAAAGTGAAATAAATATGTGAATATTTTTCGGTGCCGAAAAAAAAATAAAAAAATAGAAGATGTTTAAACTCACATGACCAAAAATGGTGAGATCTTTCATTTTTCAATATTGAGAGTTTGCAGTGATGGTTAGTATACTATGATGGTTGCAAATATAAGAAACAAAATAAATCAAAAAATTAAAAATATTCACTAAATACACATATTCCTACTAATTGACATACAAGTACAATCTCTATAATTAATCCAAACCCTATAAAGTTGTGTGGAAAGCCTTAGGTGTGCCTGAGGATAACTGGGGCAGTTTGGATATCACATGGACTGATGCTTAGTTTGAACTACATTTTCTTGTTTAGCTTATGGTGGCTTGAAACACATTTATCTGTAGTATTGTCATTTACATCAACTAAAGATAGGCAAAGGTAGGGTTGGTAACATTCTAATTTTCAGAAAATTTTAATGAATCAGAAAATTTCCAACTCCTGCATGCAGTCTAATTTTCTTTGTCTCAAAAAAATTACCTTGCATAGCATTGCCTAAAATTGAATTCTGATTCATTAAGAATGTTCTTTTGTGCAACTGATTTGTTCTTAGCAGCTCTCTATGAAAGGGTTTATGGGATGTGGAGTGTATTTTTGTAACATGAATTCCAACTTTGTGGGGGATCACGTTCACATCAACAATGAGCAAAACTAATATATTAGACATGAAAAAATTTTCTCTGCAGTATTTCCATTTATATCAACTAAAGATGGGCAAAGGCCTCCTGCATGCAGTTCTAATTTTCTTTTTCTCGATAAAATTACCTTGTGTATGATTGCCTAACATTGAAGTATGATCCATTAAGAATGTTCTTCTGTGCAACTTATTTGTTCTTTGCAGCTCTCTGTGAAAGGGTGTACTATTTGAAGATTCTCGTGAAGACAAATTTCAAAAAAGAGATAGAGAAAACACAACTTTAATAAAATTCATATACTTGAAATTATATACCTAATTAGAAATG